TCACTTTAATGCATTTAAAATATTGTTAAATATGTATATTGTATGAATGCATTTCATTTTGTCAATCATTTTATCAGTATAGAAGTAATATTTATGCATTTGAAGATATACTTCATATAATTGAATGATTCCTAGAATTATCTCATAGTGGCCTGCTAGTCAGTTGAGGAATGGTATATGTTTTCATCAAAGTGGCATTTCTAACGCAAATATATTTCTATATAAATAAGTTTACTGGATACTGCTCATATATAGTTCTTCAATGTTTATTTGAAGCATTTCTTTATGACTCATCAACAAGATATATTAGTGTGACATATCAGGGGATTAAAATAACTGCTTTATTATGAGGCCTTCCTGCTGATTTTAGTTACAATTTTAGGAGTTGTAGTCATTCCCATAACACCAGTGTAGTTCCTTGTACATTTTAGTTATGACATACAAACTATGTTCTTGTTTTGGAAATTATAGAATTATAGAGATATATTCAGTTTTATTGTAAGAATTTAAAAGTAATTTCTGCATTGAAGCACTGATGTTAGTCACATTTAGAATAATTCTGATATAATTTAAGATCTTTAAAATTACCAAAAACAAATATCCTTCTTCGTGATACGGTTTCAAACTAAGCAGTGATGTTTAGAATAAATAACCTCTAAGCCAGTCCACAGTTTTGGTACAAAGCATTAGCCTAAGTGATGACATCATCCCACCTTTTAAACATATGTATGCACTGAAATTAACTTTACTTTTAGCAAGGATTACTGATCTTCATTTATGAGAGAGATAAGATGTATTAGTCCTCTTGCCTCTTCCAGCCGATCAGCTGTTGTGCGGGGGCATGTTGTCACATCGATGGGTATGGGACTGATGGGCGTACGAGTGAGCACAAGCACTCCTCTGGAAGGTTTCACACTTACTCGCGAAGATGGATGGTTTGATCTTTTGGTAAATGGTGGAGGAGCTGTAACCCTCCAGTTTGGACGCAGCCCTTTCCGACCCCAGAGCCATATTGTCAGTGTTCCTTGGAATGAGGTAAGAGTGTTCTACATGTGGAAGTTTTTTTTTTTACTTAAGAATAAAACACTTCTTGCAGGAAGTCACCAACTTAATCCTAACTCCATGAAGTGCAGTACTTATTTAGATGCTAATAATTTCCAAGTTAATTTTACATAAATTAAGAAATTTAATGACTCTAAAGAAGCAAAATAAAGTTGTCCTACATAATTGAACACCATGTAATGAAGATATATAGAGGAGTAGAGGTATTTTCCCACTTATTCTAAACTTCAGTACTAGATGGAGGTGAGAAGTCAGCCTCACCAGCTGCTTTACCACTGAAGAATGAACCTCTGGTAATCACTGGTTAGGAGGCTGGGTCGCCCCAGAGCTGTTCTGGACCTGGCAGAAAAAAGAAATATCTCTTGTCTCCCTGCTTGATAGCAAATCCTGAGTCACTCATCATACAACCACAGCCAAAGACCTGAGGTCATTGGCTTGAATTCCACTTGAGGCATGGATGTCTGCACGTATTTATTCTGTATTTATATTGTTCTGTGTGTAGGTAATGACCTTGCAATGGCCTGATCTCCCATCAAAGGAGTCCTTCCAACTGTTCAAGAAACTGAAAAATCAGCCAAGGTCCAAAGGGCTGTAGAGGCATAGAGAGAGAGAGAAAGAAAAAAGAGTACCATGGCAATGAATATATCTGTATTTTTTAAATAAGAGTCAAAGAATAACAACAGCAGATTTAAGATATATCTATTTGCCATGTGCAGTATTTTGCCAGAGTAAGGAAGTAATCATTACACTTCATACATTTTTTTTTAAATCTGTGGGAAACTGACCAAGAAAGTTAATAGCTAATTCTTTTGCATATAGAAGTTGAAAGGAACATAGAAGAAACAGACAAACATAAAGTGGAGGAATATGTACCACAGAGATATTTTGAGAAATATAACAGCATATATTTTGTGAGATTTGAGGCTTGGAAGAGAGTGACTGTGAATTGGTGATTATCCAGCAGACTACGTGCCGTCACACCCTACGAGATATAAATCTTCGTTCTTGTGTTTCTTGCCTGCAGGTTGTAATTATTGACACAGTTGTACTGGAGATTGGAGATGAGAAAGCTGTGCCTTTGGTACCTCACTCATGTGCTGCTCATGACTATGACCTCATGAAACCAGTGGTGCTTGCAACATGGAAACATGGCTTCCAGGGAGCTTGTCCAGATAAGAGTGCAATTCTAGCCGAGTCACAGGTAACAGTTAATGTTACATTTGTACTATACAATTACATTATTTTCTTTGCATGAAATTTAAGGCTCCCATGGCAGTGACAATGAAGATTGCAGTCATCTGGGGTGTCACACCATGTACAAGCATTCTTGAGGAACCCCTTGCCTCCGTTTTCAGTGAAGAAGAGTAAACCACAGTCTTATCAGTGTTACAGATTTCTATGCAGTTTGCCTTACTCCCATTGGTGTGATCTAAACTCCAGTCATTGGACTTTTTCCCTGTATTATTGGCCACTATTACCTATGCATTTTAGTCTTCTACCCTGAAGATGGAGGCAGCAGTACCTATAAAACCTTAGTATATATCTACCACACCATACAGGGTCACATGACAGGAGATTAATTTTAACTTCCTACTCTGTAAATACACAATTGATGGGATGGAGATAAAGCCTCAAACTTAAAGACCAAGAATGTTATAATGTGTTACCTGATAAGGGATATGACATGTCTTAGTAGGTGGTGATAGATGACTAAGGAGGAATGGCTGAATGATAATTAGCAGAGAAAATTAAAGAAATCTTGAGGAAAGTCCTACTGATTTCCCCACGTCAGAAAAGGATTCCTTGCCTTTGTCTAATTGGGCTGGAATGCTCAGCATAGTCAGTCATATATGAAGGTACTGAAAGATAAACAACATCTTGTACTGTGATTGTTTCTGAATAAGGTAATGGTAAATTTGTCTTTATGTTTAACTAAGAACCACACCAAGAAGATGCATGGGTAATAGGAGCTATAGCTCCATGGAACTTCAAACAGGCAGAGGCAGAGGTATCTCATATTTCATATTTAATGTGTCTTCCAGAGATCTATGTACATAGATATAAAATCAATCATTGTTTATACTAGATAACAAAATAATAACAATAATAAGATATTTAATCATACAATATAAATCCAAATGTGGCCAGCTTCATTCCCCAGCTGCTTTACACCTCATATCCATTGTACAGGAAGCTGGGTGGGCCTCAGAGCCAGTCTGAAATTATAATGAAGAGAAAAATCTGTTCCTTCACTGAAAATCAGAACCAAATTCTGTGGTCTTCCAGCCCATACCTCAGTCACTACTCTGCATGAGTCATGCTGGTTCTAATTTACAGTATCTCATGTGTTCTAACACCACATAATTCTTTAGCCTGATGTTGATATATCTATGAGAGAGCCCAAAATAATTACACAATAAAAGAGAGTATTTAATAGAATAATTATGAATTAATTGTATTTATGTTTTCTGCTTCCAGGTTGTGCAAGAAAGCTTGCCAATCCCAGGTACTGGCCTCAATCTTGTATACCACAGCTCTCGTGCAGCAGGCTATTTGTCCACCATCCAGCTTCAGTTAACACCAGAAACAATCCCAGCTTCACTCAAACTCATCCATCTTCGAATCACCATTGAGGGAATTCTTTTTGAGAAGACCTTTGAAGCTGATCCAGTCATTAAATTTACTTATGCCTGGAATAGGCTTAATGTTTATAGGCAACGTGTTTATGGTGTAACAACTGCTATGGTTAAGGTTGGCTATGAGTACAATGATTGCAAGGACATTATTTGGGATGTACAGACTACAAAGCTCAGTGGACATGACATGAGCATCTCTGAAGTTGGAGGATGGAATCTTGACATTCATCATAGATACAACTTCCATGAAGGTATAAAACTGAGTACAATAACTAACTAACACATAAAAAATACAAGACAGAATCAAAATATGTTTGATAATGAAAACTAGGGAAGTATACGTTCTTTTAAGCATTGTCTAAATTTTAGCCCCAAAATCAAGTTGAAAACAAAATATTCCTCCAGTACTTTACAGTTTCAGGAAGGGAAATAAAGAATATTTTTCTAAAAATAATCCAGTTTAAATACATAAAATAAACTGAAGTAAAGCTTAAATGACTGAAATTTACCATTAAGGTTAGTTTCTATGGATCACTAAAATTGAACATGAACTGAAGTAAACCCCTAAATTCAAGAACATTAAAGTGGGGCAGGGGGGGTCCACTATATCTCTTTTATATCCTATTTCTGTTCTGAAAATTAATTTCCTATTAAAAACTGTATTTTATAACATTTTGGTGACAAAAATAAGGTCCACCACTTAATTTATAATTCCAAAAATAATCAATATGTTTCCTATTCACAGTGGTAACAGCCATTCCCTTACCTCTGTCTATGCTTACTTTAAATTAGTTTAGCAGTGATCAGATCACACTTGTGTAACATTGACAAGGTATTTTTTTAAAGAGAATTTTAAGTCAAAAATATGTTTCTAGTTTCAAATTTAAGAGTTGGTAAAGTGTTTCAAACCTGAATATATTATCATCCCTCTGAACAGATATTCATTGACTTTTATATACAGTTTCTCTCTCCTTGGTTTGAAATCTGCTCTTGTTTGTTAATTGTTTATTTGTAAATATTAATTACTGAATCCGCTCCTTTAAATGTCTTCATTCTTTTCAGGCATACTTCAAAAGGGAGATGGTTCCAATATCTATCTGAAGCATAAGCCACGAGTAATATTGACTTCAATGGGTGATGGACATCAGCGCCCTCTTGATTGTTTTGAGTGTGATGGCCAAGCATCTAAACAGAGATTATTGGCTCCAGTAGCTCTTGCTGCATCTCCTGATGGTTCTATCTTTGTTGGGGATTTCAATCTGGTCCGAAGGATCCTCGTGGATGGAACAGTGAGGACTGTTCTAAGGCTGAAGTAAGTGCTGTTCAGTTGAAGATTTATTTTATATTTTGTAAATTATTTAACAATGCTGTCAGTATCTAGACTTTGTAATGACAGATGGCAGGATGCCCACAGTATGATGAATTGGAAAGGACATGAAAGTGGTTGTAGTCTATTGAAGGTACTCTCCTGGCATTTTCTTGGTGGGACTGAGGAAAACCAAGAAAACCCTCGGTCAGTATAGCTGATGTCCTGGCTGGAATTTGAACCAAACCCTTTCTGAATAATAGTCTCAAGTATTATCTGTAGATCATCCACTTCATTTTTGAAGTGTAGCACCATAACTGTCACACAAGCACAAGGTGAACATGTGTAAATAATAGTGGGGGCATGGACCATGGTGCTGTTCAATGGCACATGGCTCGATACATGTGTATGTTTCATAGTTCTTAATCACAAAATCCCATTTCACTGAATAGCACTATGCTCTACACTACCTCCCTTTCTGCCAGTGAGAGACTTACATAAACTATCAATGTAGTTAAAATTGAATTAACTGTTGGGGCACGCTGTAGTGTAGTTGGTTGAGCCACTATGCTGCAAGCAAGGTCATGGGATTGATTCCTGATAAGATCATTTTATTTTTTTTCAATTTACTTAATCCTTACAGACGCATTGTGGCCCTGGGTTCGACTAAGCCTCTAACAGAAATGAGTACCAGAAATCTTCCTGGAGGTAAAGGGTAGCCAGCGCATAAGGCTGACAACCTCCTCGCCATCTGTGACTCAATTCTCTAGAAAATGTGGGAGCTTTGACCTCTCAGAACCACATGGGCCTCCGAAGCCTGTTACAGCGATAGGTTTACCATTTATTAAATTCACCCAGAGTGTTTCAGCAGCATATATTTGTCATGTTCAGTGCCATTTCTTGTTATTACTGTATCATGCTATTGAAATTGTTTATTGTTTATTGTTATTAAATAACTCCACAAATCCTGTACAGGGGCTTTAGCACCCATAGGATATAGAGCTCGTCAAACTGATACAATCTCATACAAAACATAATGTGTAAGTATGTGTGACAATTGAGAATATCAAAAGAGCTCATGAATTTAATTACTCTTACTTCCTTTGTCTTTCACTGTATGATCCTCCAGCACCCTTGGGCTACTTTATGGCAAATGTTCATTCTTCCCTGTCATTTGCCTCCATCTCTTCACTTTCATGTTTTATGTATCATTCTACGAATCTTCCAGCCATATCAGTCTGTGCCTTTCCTAGTTTCTTAAACTAAGTACAGTCCAAGCAGCAAGATCTAGCTTATTGTCTGTATAACCTCCCCTTAATCATCATCATAAATTATGTGTCTGTCATCCCATTATTGGCTTTGTTAAACTATACTGTTTTTTGAGATGCAGTTGTAAGTCTTACACTTGGCCACAAACTTGAAAAACAAGAGTCTGTCTGCCCCCTATCCATTGATCTATCTAGCATGGGTAACCCTGCAAGGAGCTTCACACTGCATCATAGCTCTTCAGGTGAACAGAGCATGTAAACCTCCCCATCATGCCTCAACATCCCAGTGGGAGTTTGTTATGATTTTAGAATTCCACAATAAAATTATTATATAAACTGCTCCCATGAAAGTTGAATTGTATTATTGCTGCATGATGTGAATGAATATAAATTGCCCAGGAACAGAACAGCTGAGGAACAGAATAATAATCATGGTTCCAGTCGTGAAACTAACAACAAATAGGAACAATCTCTACCATTGCCATCTCTGTCAGTCCTAAGTAGCACTGACTATATGATCTGTAACA